TATAAGGTTGTTTGTTCTGATAACAGATAACAGTTAGTATGCCCTGCTATGTACGTTTCTACTGACCTATGTGTGGCCTGGGTGGTTCTTGGCTGTGTTGGTGGTTACAGTCACTATAGCCAGTAAATCTCTGGTAAACAGCCAAACTACATACCAGGGTCCAGATGATAACAACATAATACTTCCCATTTCAGGAACACGCCCGAAATGTAGAATTGCTATTCTGTCCGTTAAAATGGCATGCACATTGCGAGATTTAATGACGTGTTTGCTTATATAGGTGTCTCACCGGTCATTTATCATGATCCCACGCAGCAATCGTTCCGTCATATGATCCAAGCGTTCAATTTGTCGTATGATCTCAGTGTTCAGTCCGTCAAATGATCTCAGCGTTCAATTTGTCATATGATCTCAGTGTTCATTCCGTCATATGATCTCAGCGTTCAGTTTGTCGTATGATCTCAGTGTTCATTCCGTCATATGATCTAAGCATTAAATTTGTCGTAGGATCTCAGTGTTCAGTCCGTCAAATGATCTCAGCGTTCAATTTGTCGTATGATCTCAGCGTTCATTCCGTCATATGATCTCGGCATTAAATTTGTCGTATGATCTAAGTGTTCATTGCAAACTTTGCACCTCGCTAAATGGGCCTTTTCGCTTGGAAATTCATAGAAATGACACTTGGTACGGAAGGGACATTTTGGTACATTTAGTGAGCGATGTCAGGAGTTAATAGTTACGTTACTCGTTTGAAGTAGTGTCTAATTGTTATATAGACCGTCTGTATTCCTAATGCGCCTAAACTACAACTGGGATACGATGACATGCATCAACCAAGTCAGCAGGCCTGATCACCCGACCCCTTTAGTCCCTCGTACGACAAGCATGATCGCCTTTTACGTCAAGCATGGGTTGCTGAAGACCTATTCTACCCTGGATCTTCACGGGGTGAGTGTGAGTGAGTGAATTGGGTTTAATGTCTCAGTTTTCCATGTCGGAGGAAAGTTTACAGCTTACTCGAGCACGTGTAGAGTACTAAGAACCCAAACATCATAACGAGGGCGAACCGGGATTCTAAACCACCTAGGTCGCCTAAGGGACGCAACTCTGCACAGCGCATTGTGACGCCGGTTGGGCAACCTGTGTCCCCACTACTGCTGAAAGCATCGTTATGCATATGCCCATGATGCTTCATTCCGGCCGTCAAGTCACTGTCAGGTGCTTCAGATTTAACAAGTGGAAGGATATGTTCGTAACAAATGCATTTATTGTCACCTGTTCACGGGGCGGTTGGGTAGCCTAGTAGTTAAAGCGTTCGCTCGACACGCCGATGGCCCGGCTTCGATTCCAGCATGGGTACAACGTGTGAAGCCCATTTCTGGTATCCCCCACCGTGATATAACTGAAATATTGCTAAAAGCGGCGTAAAACCACACTCACTCACTCACTCATCTGTTCACGTCATTGTTGAGGTGAATCTTAAATACGATTACTGGTCACGCCACCAACCCGGTTGTAATGAGATTAACAATGGGTACGTTATGTTTTAGTCCGGTTGTCTTACTAATCAGTTTTGTCAGCTCAAATCTAATGTTACCGGTGTAATCATACCCCTACCCCTCACCTCTCATCCCCAACCAACGCCCCATTCTTGTGACGCTTACTTCCTGCTGACCTGTAACCTATACACCAATCACGTCGTGAGACACACATAACCGTTTCTGAAATCGAGGGGGCACGGGTGGTCCAGTCGTCTAAGGCGCCGCGATTCGCTGTACAGAGCTGCGTCCCTTGGGCACGCCAGAAACCTATGATTGTGGGTTCGAATCCCGGTTCGCCCCGATTGCGTTCTAGGTTTGTCAGCACCATACCGAGGTGGTAAACATCTGACACCTGCATCACTTCGGGCTTTCCTCCCACATTAAGCTGACACGCCGCGATATAACTGGGATACTGTTAAAAGCGGCGTAAAACACAACTCACTCATGAAATCGATACTTTATTTTCTTCAGTTTTGAATAGGATGTACAAACAGGGAGCTATATTTATGCACAAAACAAACTGAGATTGCACGCTGCTCTGCAGACTTGGCCCTTGTGGGTTTGATACCTTCCTGGTCCCTGTTGTCTTTGCTTCCTGTTTCTCTTCACGATTAAGAACTTTGAAGCAATGTTATCTTGTCAGTGACGCCACCATTGTCCTCGCGTGTCCCCCTACCCAACCCCACCAACATCCGTGATCTGCTTGTATTTGTTTAAGCAGTGATACGTCGGTGTGCTGCTTGGTGCGCTACAGGGTGGGCGGGCTGACCTCGTTCCCAGCACCCTTGCCGTAACCCTTCACATCGGTCATCTTTCCTTAGACGATTTGGTATGGCTTATTTTAAGAGGATATTCCTGCGTCAGGCGGAATGTCATGCTTATCTCAAATTAGGGCATATTCAACTTGTCTCGTTCCCGAGTACAGTTTGAGTGAATGAGTATGGTTTTGCGCCGCTTTTAACAATATTAATATCACGGCGGGGGACACCAGAAATGGGCTTCACACATTGTACCCATGTCGGGAATCGAACCCGCGTCTTCGGCGTGACGAGCGAACGCTTTAACTACTTGGCTACCCGACCGACCCGAGTACAGTTTGAAAAAATCAGTTGTTAAATAGAGCATCTCACTCGAGAGTCTTTTGGTATCATATATATCGACACGGGTCGGTGAATTTTTAAAAATCTTAGGCTGGCCGTTGAGATTAATACTTCTATCGACTAGTGTTTTTATATTTAGCAAATGAAGTTTGCTCTATCCTCATGTGTCGTGTAATAAAGTATAGTTTGCCCTGAACTTTTATAAACTAGGCGCAAGGACGCTTGCGTAACAATGATCTGCAAAGCACAGTGGTACAATTTCCTTGTAGCGACAGCTGAGCAATAGTGAGTGAGTGAGTGAGTGAGTGAGTGAATGAGTATGGTTTTACGCCGCTTTTAGCAATATTCCAGCAATATCACGGCGGGGGACACCAGAAAAGGGCTTCACACATTGTACCCATGTCGGGAATCGAACCCGGGTCTTCGGCGTGACGAGCGAACGCGTTGACCACTAGGCTACCCGACCGCCCCTCCACTGAGCAATAACTCCAGTGGGGGAAACATCTGGGGTTCGATCCCCAATTGGTCAAAATGCTCGCAGAATAGTTTTGAGTCACGGCGGAATAACTGGACTATTGCTAAAGAAGCGTAAAACCAAACTAATTTATTCAGTTTACCTTTAAATAAAGGTGAGCTACCATACCTGTGGTATTCAATATTGTAAAAAAAACAATAAATAAAGTTACAATAAATCGCAATGTGATGCTGTACTCGTTTGTACATAACAATTCACTCATCTTTTACTCAATAAAAGCTCCTAGCAACCTAGCTTGTGAGAGGCGACAGAAATGTATCGAGTTGTCAGACAAGGTGCCGTGCCGTGGTTGATGGCGTTGTACGCGTATCCTGGTGGCGGGAATCGTCGTATCCAGACTTGATTATCCACAGACCGCTGTAATATGTAGCTTGAATATTGATTACAGCAGTGCGTTAAACAACGGTCTCTTACATATTACCTTCACATACCCACAGCCCCACTAACGTATTTTCGGAGAGGGATAGGTCTATAGAGATATATCCTGTGTGTGTACGTTATCTGGATATGCCGTGTAGGAGATTGACAGACCATTATCATATAACTGTAAAACTGCTAAGTGAAGCGCTAAACGACACACGCACGCACGCACGCACGCACGCACGCACGCACGCACGCACGCACGCACACGCGCACACTTAATAGCAGTCTACGTCAAGTTCCGGAACTCATATTTGATTATATACATGATTATGCACTTCATAGTGCAGTGGTTATCGCAATTACACAGAGACAATGTATCACTTTCTTTGTAATAATTACAACATCTGGACTGAGTACTACTGATGTTAGACCCGTGAAGATCCGGGGTGGAATAGGTCTTCAGCAACCAATGCTTGCCGTAAAAGTCGACTACGCTTGTCGTAAGAGGCGACTAGCGGGATCGGGTGGTCAGGCTCGCTGACTTGGTTGATTTATGTCATCGTATCCAAATTGCGTAGATCGACGCATATGATGCCAATCACTGGATTGTGCAGTCCAGACTCGATTATTTACAGACCGACGTCATATAACTGGAATATTGCTGAGTACGGCGTTAAACAACAAACAAACAAACAAACTACTGATGTTAAACTGATTGTTGAGTGCAGTAACTCATACATTGCACTCTATGGGATGGGTTTTATCTAGAAACGTGCTACCTAGTTACGCGATGGGTATATGAATATACACCTTCCGGATACACAAGACCGCCTCCGTGGTCTAGTGCTAGAGCGTCCGCCCGAAGAGCGGAAGGTCCGAGGTTCGATCCCCGGCCGCGTCATACCAAAAGACGTTAAAAGATGGTACTTGTTTTTACCCTGTCTGGCACTCGGCATTAAGGGGCTAAAACAAGGACAGATCGGCTCGGAGTCAGTATACTGTGTCTGTGTCCGGGCTAGTACAAGCAGACACACAAACACACGTGCATGCACGTCGCTACAAAGTGCAATAATCTTGGACGCGACGTTAAACCCCATTTCACCTCACCTCACCTCCAGATACACACGTTCATTTCAAGACGTAATGGGGCTCTACTACCCCAACTGGACTGGTCTTCACCCCACATTATGAGTACTGGTAAATCAACACTTGATCAAATTAGGTAGACTATTCAAACACACGTCTTTTATGTCCAAAATCAACTCGTGTAAATGTGTGTAACTCATGCATCAGTTACAAAACAAACCCGGTATGATCACCTAGTGACCCCCCTGCCCCCAGACGAGCAATCCCTGTCTTAACGAACGCGTGATTGTACACGTCACGTGTAGGCCTACTCCATGTTTACCGTTAGTGGGTTTTCAAACATAATACATGGTCCTGCCTAGCAACCTTATCTGAGGAAAAGGAAAACATTGCGGATGGCTCTGTGAATAACAATGACGTCATTTTATTTCGAAATTGTTTCTCGTGAGGATATTTACATATCATAAGTAGCTATACCTGTATATTCCCCTACAGACAGTATCGGCGTCTCTGTGACAGCACTACTGAGGTGAGTGTTCATGTGTGGACTTAACCAAGTAAGGGCGATTCACATTTTAAAGTGACGGAGAATACCTTTGTTTAATGAACATACGGACATGTAATGGACATGTAACGGACATGTAATGTTGTGTTTCAAATGTTTGAAAAAAAACATATATTTGAGTTGAATTCAACATGATCACCTATTCCAAACTCATGATGTTATTCGAACATATATCATTTGTATCCAAGGAAGGGGTACACCAATCGTTATTGTTAGTTTTAATGTTTACGTTTGTTTAACAAGCATTGTCCTATCAGCTACGTCTTTACTAAATCCTGACACACGGGTAATAGTTTCTTTCAGATTCGCAGCATTCTTTTAAATCCCAGCACCAGAAGGGGTGGGGTGGGTGGGGTATCAGGGTATCGATTGCTTCATCTGTCTAAAGTATTTTGAATATATTATTATGATATTTCAGAGATTTTCTACTACAATGATACATATGTTTATTTGTTATAATTTAGTCACTTCGTGAAATGACAATTGTGTGCTCACTTTTTCTGAAAAGAAGTGAGTGAGTATGGTTTTACGCCGCTTTAGCAATATTCCAGCAATATAACGGCGGTTCTGAAAAAAACAACTTTCAGGAGGTTAAAAAAGATCACGTTCTATATGGGATGGGGAAAAAATTCGTTTATGCAACCACATTATGTTTCATTTCTGTTTCTTTTACACAACTCAAGACAATGACAAATAGCTGTTTTTTCAAAAAATCAGAAACACCTTCAAGCATCTCATGTTTAGTTCCAGTAGACGTTCATCCCTCTCCTCGCGTCCACAACAATGGCGGTCGTCACTCAGCCCACCGGAAACCCCAACCTACTGGTCAGACCGGAAGGTCACCGAGACTGGTCAACAGGCATGTTCGGCTGCGCCTCGGACTGTGGCTCGTGTAAGTCACCTAGGTGGTCAAACACCTTTCTAATGCTTTAGGCGAACTTATGTGAGTGCACCTCATACACGTGCCTCGGAAAAAAATCGCTGACGTCACTCAAAACATGTTTATCATTTAAACATTTTCACCCAAAAGAAGCACAAAAAAACAGAGACCATATATGGTCTCTGAAAAAAATTAAACAAGAAATTGTAGAATTTCGACCTGAAAACGGAATAGCGTTCCACAATCGGGCAGTTAATAGGTAGACTCATTCGTATGTTTTAGTCTTGCGAGAGAAACACTGATATTTTCAGAGATTCAGAGACTATTTGGATTTTGGCAGCAAGGGTTTTGGTAGAATATATGTCAGATAGGACGGAACCATATTATGATTAATTTTGAAGAAAAGAGAACAAAAAGTGTACGTTTCTTTCTACGCTCAACTGAGAGTTCCGAACCGGTTTCTTGACATAGCGAATGTCCGACTGAAAACATACATGTTCGTTATAGCCGTGGGAATTCCTATCATTGAGTATTAAGTTATTCTAATTCTGTTGTTTAAAGCGAAGGCGGTGAAGGTTACATGACTTGAGATCGTCGCATTTAAGGATCATGGCATTCTTTTTTTATTTTTTATTTTTTAAAAGCGGTTTACAATGGTTTTCGTGATTGTTAAACGTCATACATAGATCCCCGTAATGTGAGCTGTTTGTCTCTCTTACCTTGTTTTCATGAGAATATGTAATACTATATATTATCAGGGTATGAAACTCTAGGTATGAAAATTTAAGCCAGACCACAGGACTGGCTAGCTGAAATACTTGCCAGCCCTGACCAAAACCTGCCTGCCCACTATAATCATGTTTCTCAGGATAATTCAATTAAAACTTTAAATCGAATTCATTGAACATGAAGTAATGCAAGAAAAGAAATAGCAAACACTTTTTAGGTGAGATTTGTATTTAATATCCTAGAATACATCATGTAAATAATGCTTATCATCCGGAAATATTTAGAGTATTTTTACATATGAAATATAACCCGACCGTCGGGCAGGGGGATTTGAAAATCTGGCAGCCCGAGTTGAAATCAACCCGTCTCGGACGGTCAAGCAGGCAGGTAATTCGAACACTGATTATATATACTGCACGAACTGAAGGTATGCGTGTTGACAAAATGCCAGATATTAAGGTTCCCCTTTTGGGAGATAATAGTTGGAGCAAACAATACCGGTATTGTACACTGGGTAAGCAGTTCTGCTCGACTGAAGACATGTCACCTAGTCAAGTAGATCTTGTTTCTATCCAATAAGATTATTTACTACTGTTTGTATCCATGTTGCTGCTGTCCAGGTATCTGCACATGGTGCTGTCTGCCGTGCATGTTGTGCCGCCTAGCAGAGAGAATGGATGAATGCTGCATGATGCCGTTCTGTGTGCAGGGATCTCTCGTTGCCATGAGAACCAAAGTCAGAACCATGGGTGGGATAACGGTAAGTAGCAACGATAATCCCTCATGATGCAGTGGTGATTTGTGTCCCTTGGCCGTGCCAGGATTCGCTTGTCGTGTTGGTTCGACCGGGTTATAAAGTTTCGCGCGTTAACTTCTTCAGTGCGGTAAAGTGGTAAGTGGTGGATTGGGAATCGAACCTCAAACCTTCCGCTCTCCGGGCAGGCGCTCTATCCACTACACCAGGGGGGCCACTGGTGGATCCCTTTATCGGACACTTTCATGTTAACTGTACCCTCGGGAACTGAGTGCACCCTTTTTTCAAAATCCCGGATGCGCCGCTGGGTTTAAACCCAAAATAGATGAATCCAATACATATTCAAATAAAAGTATTTAAAATCTAAGCCACATTCTCTTTTTCCAGGGTTCAATCTGTAAAGATTGCGTCGCCGTTGCTTGCTGCGGGCCATGCATTGTATGCCAAATGTCCCGCGAGATGGACAACATGGGCTTGTAGAGTTGCCTCCCTTGGAAGAAGCGTCGGATCTGATTCACGATTGCCTTGAATTCGTTGTTAGATGAGACGACGATACGGTCACTACATACCAACGCTTCATGAGATGATGTTACCTTGTTAAAGAGTGAATAATGAGTTTTAATTGTCAAGTAACAAGTTGTATATTATATTGGTTTTATTTTGGTTTATTATGAAATAGTGATAATATGAAATTATCAATCAAAAAAGCAAACAATGTCATTTATGAGAGTTCGAATAGGTTCCAAATATGTTCCATTGAACACTTGTGGATGCCCACCAATGTTAAGATGTTGAACAAAATGTCACCCGATTGGACGCCGCGATATAACTGGAATACTGTTAAAAGCGGCGTTAAACCCAATTCACTCACTTCGGACAAATATACAGATTGTTCAAAACATGAATTTACAAACACAAGGCTTTATGGCATTTATTTTCCACATCACAAAACACGAATTCTTCTATGGCTTGTTGAAAGTATCTTAATTTCAACTAACAATTACATTCTTGTATGATCAGGTGCGAATTTGTTAGTCACGCACACAAGGTTTTTGTTTCACGAGTCCCATTTGCATAGAGAACTTGGGTACCGTATTTTTTTTAACTATTGATATATCTGGTGTACGATCTTATGTCTTGCCTTTCTGAAGCAACAATCCTCACTATAAAGTACATGCACATGTACATTTCTTATCACCACATATCTGTGTGCCTGGAGTCCTCAGAAAAGTGTTTTAATGGCGTCTTGCAATTAGCAAGATGGTTTCGACATTAAAATGTATAAAATGACTGTCATAGTTTCACTGATCTCTATGGTATTCATAGTTTTAAACAATGACTGAACCTATTGTGTTGGTGTATGCTATGGGGGCGGACGTGCAAGGTCTTGCAGGGTATATATAGAATGTGATCACTTTAAGTATTAATGCAATTGTCTTTTTAATAGTTTGCAAATAATATATTTTCTAACAAAATAAAAAGTGAACATAACTTTCCTTGTGTTATTTCTACGTCCTGTATATGCTGCTTGTATTCCAAGATGTCAGCGGATATATCCGACCCTGAACAACTACTTGAACATCCTTGTATTATAGACACTTTTCATCGAAGCCTGTGGTGATTTCGTGGTGGTCGTCATCAAACACACACACACACACACACACGCACGCACGCACAAACACACGCACGCACGCACGCACAAAACACACACACACACCAAAGGACGAATACGTGAATAGAATTCTAGCCGTTTTTACCATTATTTCTGCAGTATCTCCAAGAATGGATCTGCCATGTTGGCACTCGAAGCAGCTTCAACAGGGGTTAATGTTTTGAATTTCAAATCATTATTGAGTTTTCAGTACAAGTCTCCCCGGAGAACGGGTGGTTGGTTGTTCGAATCCCTGGCCGCGTCATACCAAACGTTATCAAAATATTGCACCTGGCGGTTGCCGGTTTTAATTGAATCATGAAAATACAAGTTGGGGACAAGTGATACTTGTGCTAATATTTGCCCTCCTTGTCGAAAAAAAGTTAACTACGCCTTGACAACAGATCTGGACAAATAACCATTCAGTGTGAATTACACACACATATGTGAGTCTATGACTGCCTGGCATAAGAGTGTTAGACTGCATTGTGTCTGTTTGTTGTTTAACGCCGCACTCAGCAATATTCCAGCTATATGACGGCGGTCTGTAAATAATCGAGTGTGGACCAGACAATCCACTGATTGACATCATGATCATCGATCCACGCAATCGGGATACGACGACAGGCATCAACCAAGCCAGCGAGCCTGACCACCGGTTAGTCGCCTTTTACGGTAAGCATGGGTTGCTGAAGACCTTTTCTACCCCGGATCTTCACGGATCACATTCAGTTGTTTAGCCATTAACAGATTACCTGCACAGGTAGTATGTATTAGGTCACACATATACTTTCGTATTTTTTATATATTTTACTAACTGACAGGAGATTAAACCACCATTAAAAAATAAAATATAAATAGCATAAGTTAATAAATAATTGCCGAGAATCTCAATCATTGAATGATTAAAACAAATTACAAAGATGGAATTACTAGCCCCTATCCAAACGAACAGTAACCGTTAACGTTTTAAATAATAATTGATGGAATGATACGTGATCGCCTCCGTGGTCTAGCGGTAGAGCGTCCGCCCGGAGAGAGAAAGGTGCGAGGTTTGATCCTAGGCCGCGTCATACCAAAAGACGTTAAAAGATGGTACTTACCCTGTCTGGCGGTCGGCATTAAGGGGCTAAAACAAGGATTGGTCGGCTCAGAGTCAGTATACTGTGTCTGAGTGGGGTATTCATGTTAAACAGACAGACAGACAGACAGACAGACAGTTTATTCAGTAAGAAGGTCATAGGCCCATAATACAGACAATGGTTGATTGCATGAACTATGCATGCCAAGGAAGTAGTCGATTTAAGTTTCTCTTAGCCGTTGGACTTTATATAGATATAAACATGTGTTATATACAACATCAAAGTTTTCTGATGAAATAATTTCAGTAAAAGATGTTACAGTTTGAAACTTGATATACTGTTTAAGATACATATTTCTTAGGGCTGAATAACGCTCACATACAAGTAAAACATGAAATTCATCTTCAATAAAAGATATACCATTTTCTATACAATATTTACATAATCGTTCAGTGTATGGGACATTTGTCTATCTCCCCAAGTCAATTGCAAGGTTAAACTTGCTACATCTGAAACGAGTCATACATATTCTCAGATATACTGGTATGGGGAGTGTAAGATATTTTTCTACATTCAACAGGGATTTAAAATGTTTATAATAAAAGGTATCAGATATACTATTGATAGAACTACACCATGATTGTTGAAGGTTATCAAATAGTCTTTGCTTAAAAAGATGAATAAATAACTTCACATTGCCAACATATCCAAAACCTAATTTAAACAAAATATTCTTAATGTGAGTAGCCCATGTGGTGCGACCAGAATGGTCCAGTGATTTGAGCATTAAATAACATTGGCGAGGCAGTCTGCGCTCGTCCAAACGCAGTATAGCCTGCACCAATACTTGATGGCCCTTGTGGTATACACAAGTTGGAGAGGGGCTCTTCCGCACTCTCCTAAAACCATTGCATTGTTTGTTGTTTTACCTGTATTTAGAAACCATTTACACATTTTGTTCTGTACATCTTCAATAATTTTACAATATGAGATGCCCCATATTTCTGCCCCGTAACAGACAATAGGCACAATCATAGCATCAAATATCTTAAATAAATCTTGACAGGGTATATTACCAACTTTCTTTTGATATCTATATAATGTCATAATGGCCTTGTTACTCTGTGCAGCAAGAGTATTTAGTGCCTTAGTCCAAACAAGTTTGGGCGTGAACACAATACCCAAATATCTATAAAACGACACGGTTTCAATATATACACTATTAAATTTCCATTTTTCATAATGTCTAAGGGGTCCGCCATTTCTGAATACCATAACTTTGGTTTTCTTCAAGTTTACCTTCATGCCTGTGGTATTGCAAAAATGTTCCAAGGCATTGATCTTCCAAGGTATTCATGTTAAACTGCGGCATGGTATCTCTGTTTGCTAGCACAATAAATCGGCATCAGTCCGGACTAGTACAAGCAGCCACACACACACGTGCATGCACGTCGCTATATAAGTGCAATAATCTTGGACGCGATGTTTAACCCCATTCCACCTCACCTCACCATTTGATACGCAATCTGCTGCCAAAACCAAAGGAACATCGTTTAAACCTTCCCTGACAGAAGTGAATTTAAAGCCATGTACTCGTATACACATAAAAGGTCCTGAACTAACTTATTTCCATTTTTCACTCAAACATATTGATAATCTAATACAACGCATAAAAGCGAGATCAAAAGACTCCATGGCTATCTTGACAAGCAGCTGCACAATAGGTAGATTGGCACATTTCTAAGCCATTTCGTGAAACTATTCTTTTAAAGTTATTGTAGAATAATTATATGTATGTGCACTGATATTTTTGTTCGCTAGTGTATATTTAAGAAAACCCAGCACACTGGGTAAGATGACATTACTGCAAATTATTGTAAATATTCAAGTAGTATTTTCAAGAAAACAAGCCGTTTCTGATACTCTATGTCGGGTGTTCTATGTTGTCTTTTATTCCTAAAAGTACGCGATGAAACACATTCAAATGTTATGGCGAACGGGGATGGCCAAAGGGAGACAACTCTAAATGACGTCACTAATACATTATGGGATGGCGGCTATCTTGTGACAAAAATACAAGTCCCGGGTCGCTTGCAAAATCTGTTCAAACTAATCGTATCTGAAAGGTATGTTATATTTTATCTTTTCGTGTGTTCACTAGATTAGCCTATGCCTAGATTATTTTCATTGAGTAGTTTTGATATTTGTTATATTCCCAATTTTGCCCGGACCGCACCTGATGTTCGGGCAAATCTGATTTGCATACATTCACTTGTCAAAAATTTCGAATTAACTGATTTTGTTGCACATCAAATCTACGAAAATGATATGGATGACTCTGTTACATCTCACTTTTGTCGTTTTTTATTTTTCCTCAGTGAATAGTATTGAATTTTACAAGTGATATAAATAACAATTCCGAAACAAATATGAAACAGAGCCCGCCATGTTTGTTTGGTTGCCAGCCAGCAAAGCAGGCGTGCGCTCGAGTAGTAATATTCTGTGCAGTTATCCTTTGGGACGGGCATGTCCTTTGCACACCCTTTCATACATAAAACAGTTGTGTTTGAAATAAACCTTGATCCGATTTATAAGTACCTCAGTTGTCTTTTCTTTGAATTGCCTTTTCGTAAATAGTTGGTCAAATGGGACGGGTAGACCGGGACAAGGCGTTTGAATGTTGTGTTTTTCTCTCTATTTGATCCTTGCTCTACTGTCAGATTGTTTTTTATTTGTATCTGCTACGAAATAGGCCTAATGCAAAAAATCCATTAGCTTGTCAGTTTTAGTTCAACTTCCAGCTCAAAAAAACGAGATGGTAGATTCTACTGTATGTTTCATTTGTTCCATAAAGCATTGACACTTTATAATGTGTATCAGCATCTGTAGGAATTGACACACAGATATTATTCTTTCTCCAGCAGCATTAAAGCTGCGGATTCCATGTCTCTGTGCTGCTCCTGTGAACAATTGTCATATTGACTTGACGCCACACAGAGCTTCAGGCTGCCTATAGTATTTTCCTAAAAGATTCCTGATCCAAATCTGGGTCACCCTTTGATTGAGCAAAATACGCGCTTCACTTCCTAAGATTCTTGCCTTCAAATATTTTAGATCACAGTAACAATAACTTTTCTTAATCGTGTTTGAAACCAGTCTGGTAAATATTTGGCATTGCACACAGTGGTGAAGGCCAAGAATCTGGACACTTGCAATGATCCCATCCGGAAAAGTACACGAAAATTTGAATGATCGAAAATATACATAAGTATGCATATTTGAAGGGAAGTGTTTTAGGAAGTGAGTAAGTTTTTGTGAGACTGATTCATGTACAGTGTGGCTGGCTTATTAGTGCGGTAAGTTCCTAATAAGGAATCTATAAGTAAAATACTATAGGACAGTCTGTAGCTCTGTCACGACAAATGAAAATCGTTTATAGTGAGCAGCACATACAGTCAGTTTGACTCCAAATGAGAACGATGAATTGCAAAATAACTCTAAATCCAGAAAAGTGTATGAAACATCAATACGGTACTTGACCATGAATACCCTGTACCCAACAAAATCTGAATTTTGTTTATTTTAAGACCTGTGCCTTCCACGGTTTGTCCCCCTACATGTCATGTACACATTTCTATACAAAATTACATGATAGTTTCTTAAAGAACCTCATCCGTCATGGGTTTTAAAATAACAAAATTCAGTTTTTTTTGGTACAGGGTATTCATGGTCAAGTACCGTATTGATGTTTCATACACTTTTCTGGATTTCGAGTTATTTTGCAATTCATCGTTCTCATTTGGAGTCAAACGTACTGTAGATATGGTTAACACAGCTAGCAACTTTGAGGCCTGAACATGAGTTGCTTGGGTTGATTTTGAAAGTATTCCTGACAATATAAAGTATACAGTGCCGCCTAATTGTATATTTTGTCAATATGACACACTTCTGTTGGCATTAGCCTGAACATTGCCTTTGTTTCCTAAAGTTAAGTAATGCTACTCATTTAGTGTAGAGGGGACTGATACATACACTATTATGGGATGTTTTTTACAATTACAAACTACTTCAGTATTACCTGCTCACATTAATGAGCTGGTATTTACTTTGCATTGGGGAAAAACATTGTGTCAGTGTAAAACTTAAGTTTATTAAAAATGTACGTAAATGTACGTCATGTAATTGCTTAGGTTGAAACATTTCTGTGATATATTTTGTAAAGCAAACAAGCAATACATTGCAACAATGATGCTTATACTATAGCCTCATGTTTTGGATGACAGGACCATTAGGGGCCTTGACAAAATGACACAAGTTACGCTACTGGTGGCTTGTTTATATTCCATTTTGCATATCTCGCTTTGATAAATAACTGACGAGTTAAAAAACACTCTTTTCCGAAAAATCGTACGTATTTGATTCTAGTGACCACGAATAACAAATTTGATTCATGAAGGTACATGTATACAGTTTGTTGAATCGTAACAGCACTAATGAGAATCAATTTCAATTATATTGTGTTGAAGGTTTATAAAAGGAGCAATGTAAATCTATTTGATCTCAAATGGTATTTCAACATTCAAGGCTATGAATCATGTGAGAAACATTTCCATGTTTGCAGTGTAACTCGTCTCTTTTGTCATCATTTTCACTAGCATCCCTCTTGCGGTCACAAGAAAAGTTCATTGGCTAAAACTAGTTTTAGAGATGCATCCAAGATCGTGAGTGAGTGGGTAAATGTTTTGTGACACATTTAGCAATATTCCTGCTATATTTTGACGACATTGTGGACCAGTCAAACAGGTGGCATGAGCAACAATACTTGTCAGGGTAGGAGGATGACACACAGCCAGGTCATGCATCGAACACTGATCACAACTGAAATGACAATACAGCTGCTGAATATGCCTTATTGAGAAGAGAGGCCACTTTGTAGACCAAGTAGAATACACAAACACATATTAGTTGCTCTGTGTAGAAAATATACTTGGGGGGGAAAAAAGCATTGCTGAGAAAATTGAGATATGATGTTGAAAATGATCTGTCTGGTTTGAAGTTGTCTCAGATAATGGCAGATTCTGTGTCCCTCAAGTTTTGATTCGTCAAACATGTTGATAAATGAATTGTGTCACCCTCACCGCTTAAAGTACCAGTGAGCATTATTAGTTTCAGGCCACCGTAATATAGCTGGGATGTTAAGTGATGCATAAAATGACTGGCTCATCAAACAGCTAATGGCAATGTTTACTTCCATCTCATCCAAACTTCCATCTCGTCTCATCAGCAGCTAAGAGATCACATAATAACATTGGTCACATAATAACATTTGCTCACATGTACAAATCAACATTTAGCAAAATATTTATGTCAATTTGCAATCTGCGTTTCATACCAGATTGCACATAGTGCTTGGTGAATTATTTTTGGCATTACATCAAACACTGTCCTAAGGGCTGGGACAGGTCAAATTACTTGTGTACCTGCCCCTATTACCCTACTCGGACCAAGATACCTGTTATTTGGAGTTATCCCCCTTTGCCTCTACCCCAGTAATGAACAATGGCTCAGCAGAAGGGGGAAAAGTGATGTTTGGAACTATTTCAACTATGGGGAGCAAAAAGTAAGTGTATGTTTGTCTTAGTTGTTTTGTTCAATCAAAATACTAGCTAAACACAAGACAAAACACCAGACAACTAACTAATGAAATACCTGGGTAAAAGCATTAGTAGTCATATGGCTACGAATGCATTTTTCAAGGTAGCCACTGGTAAAAGTAAGAATTTGAGCCAATATTGTAGGTGGCCAAAATTATTTGAAATTATCTTTTATTAGCAAGTTCATAGCGTAAGTCTTGGAATCGTTTATTAGCCACGCGTATTTCATTAGCCATTCTGTGTTTAATTTTCCTTTCATAGCAACAAATTTTTATTTACATTCGAGTGACTGCTTCTCCATGTCTTTGTTTGCGTTCATCAGCTCGGAATTACATCAAACATCACTATTATTAGTTCCAAAATTACTGTCAACTTCATTTTCAGTCACAACTGTCAGAGGTACAATCGATTTTTGCTGTGAAAAGATAGAAAAGCTCTTTACCCTGATGTTGGAAAATGGAACGGTCATGCATGTCAGAAGTTCGTAAACTTGAACCCAACTGCACACAGTAAAATTATTTAGCGTATCTGAATCCTCACAGCTCATTTCTAGTGTCCCCCGCTATGATATTGCTGGAATATTGCTAAAAGTGGCATCAAACCATACTCACACGCTCATCGTACCCGACAGTGTGGTTTATTGCTCATGATATCAATCACAGCAATATGACAGAGGAAACACCAAGAATAACACATTGCTCCCATGTGGGATTCAAATCAGTGTTTTCTGTGTAACAAGCCAATGAAGGTCCATCCCAATCTGACACTTCATCATTACGGATGTAAGGGACAGAAATTGAGTTTGTGAATAACTAGACAATGGATGTGGTATAGTATTACACCACTCCAGAGTGTGGCAAACATTATTTCCAGTAGATTTAAAATGTAAATAGTATGACAAGTGGCTAGTGTCTAGAGTATCCCTTGCTTGTGTGAGCTGACAAATGAGGATTGGATGGTTACAATTTGTGATCTGGTAGATTGTGTGTTATTGTGTCCAGACTTCATCATACTGTTTTTGATGTCAGTATCTATGGTTTAATGGTATCACTGTTTACAACTCATATGACTAATGCAAGATCTTTTTTTCAGTGAAACCCTTTCTGTTTATTAAGATGTGATAGTACCATATATTCTTGTGTACAAAGCACACTTGACTATAATCAATATATATAGAGGGAGGTATTTGAGAGTATAACAAACTAGGCATTATCCAAACTAAAGTTTGTGTGGGTTTTACAATATTAACCTTGCGATGTTTGCTTTCAACACTTAGTGAAGCATGGATGCAGAGGCTAAAGAAGCATCTGAGGTTGTCAAGGTCAAAGAAGAGGAAGAAGATGCAGATGAAGGGAACGAGGCAGGCACAGGCAGCACTGTCACTGAGGTTGATGGTCAGGACAGTCTGACAGAGGTTGGTGCTGCAGAAGGCAAACATGCAGTTGCTGTTGTTGCAGAGGACTCAACGATGCACACAGCAGTGGAGGAAGTGGCAACGGTTGGTTGCTCCGGGGAGGATGCAATGGCTCATACTGGTAGTGAGGACATAGTGACGGTTGATACTGTTGGTGATGATGTGATGACGGTTGATACTGGCGGAGAGGACACCACGACGGTTGATACTGTAGGTGAGGACAGTTTGATGATTGACACAGCACAGGAGGAGGATCCAAAGGACATGGAAGAGAAGATGGAGGAAGATCCTGGAGAAGAAGCTGTTGAGAGCGCTGTTAGTGATGATGTGAATCTTGTCCCTAGTGCTGATGCAGCTGTAGATATTGAATCTGTGAACACATCCCCAGATGCAGAGATGCTGCAGGAAGAAGACCACCTAGTTCCTGCTTCAGAGGATGAATCAAGGGCAATAACTCTCAGTCAGGACAGTGGGGAGGGGCAATCAGGGGCAATAACTCTCAATCAGGACAGTGGGGAGGGACAGTCAGGGGCAATAACTCTGCATCAAGATAGTGGCGAGGGACAATCAGGGCCAATAACTCTCAACCAGGACAGTCAGGAGGAACAGTCAGGGGCAATAACTCTGCATCAAGATAGTGGTGAGGGACAGACTGAGACTATCACACTTCCACAGGAGGGAGAAGCTTCTCTCAGTGAGCAAACAGAGCCTGAGACAATCACCATCAGTTTGGAGGAGGCCACACAAATCTTCCTTCAGCAGCAAGGCATAGAAGGAGCAGTGCAGATAGCCCCAGGGACCTATATACAGGTGAGACTCATATGCTATTGTACAAGAAATAAATGTAGCATCCTTGATTCTCTGAGTTGATTTCTTATTATTGTTTTACCTTATATTATTATCCCCCGCCATGGGTTCCGTCCTTCTGACCGTCCGTCTGTCAGCAGAACTAAAAAACATGAGCAATATCTTAACCAAACTTGGCACATAGATAGGTCAAGTGGTAAACTGGTGCATTTTGATAGTTTGGTATTTTTAAAACAAATATTTTTCGAATATCCCTGGCAACGGCTTTGACTTGGACTGAAAATGACAGAAGTGCACGTTTCCGGAGCAGATCTTGAAAACCTTACAATAGTTCTTCACCAAACTTGGCACATAAATAGGTCTATTGGTAAACTGGTGCCTTTTGATAGTTTGGGATTTTTTATAAATTATTTTTTTAGTTTCCCTGGCAACGACTTTGACTTTGACTGAAAATCCCCAAACTTGGCACAGATCTTGAAAAACGTACCATATTTCTTCACCAAACGTGGCATATTAATAGGTCTATTGGTAAACCAATGCCTTTTCATAGTTTGGGATTTATGAAAAAATTAGACTTTGCCTTAACTGGTGCCTGTTGATTACGAATGTTTCCTTAGCAAGAGCATAACTTTGAAACCGTTTACACATTCTACAAAAACATCTAGGCAGGGTTGTCTAAGAACCGTTACCATAATTACCTAATTGAGATATATACCACTTGACAAAGGAACTTGGTATTGCTGTCAATTTGGTGGGGGATATGAGTATTCCATGCCTGTTAAACTAGTTATGAATACAAACTATAGGTTCAGACAATATGTAGGTTTTTGTCCTTAATCTACAGGTCTGCTACTGGATCTGAAAGGAAGAGAAATCTCTGTGTTATATATTGTAATATACTATTATTAGTTAAGCCTTTTTACAATAACCCACAGGTTACTGGGGATGGCACACTTGGTCCGGCTATGGGGGGAACAGGCGACCCCCTGCAGGTGATCGCTACCGGGAATGGTGACCTGGTTGGGTACAGCCTGCACCCGGGAACTGGAGAGGAAGACCATGGAATGGTGACAGAGGTGGGAGGTCAGTTCATCCGGATTGAGAAATCCAACATTGACAGTGAGGACCTATCCAGTGATGCACATGGTGCTATGACAGTTGTGAAGGAAGAACATGATGTACGGGAGGAGGCATCAGTTGTGGACAATCAGGCAGATGGACATCTGGCGCAGGCGACATCTCAGTGTCAGATAATTACAACCCCCGAGGGTCAGTTCACTCTGTCACAAGGTCACTATGTGAGGGATGCTGACGGAACTGTGGCTGCCGGTACAGATGGGCTCAGCAGCAACCCCCAGCTGGTTCAGGTTGGGGAGGGACAGCTGATGGCCGTGGCACAAGGCCACGCTGGACAACTGACCACTGTGTCAGACTCACAACTCACTTCACAGTCTGCAGTTCCATTCAGTAGTCATTCAGGAACAGTATTCACAACCTCAGGAAATCAGATCATTGTGTCGTCAGGGGGGCATATATCGGTGTCATCTGGTGGTCAGATAGCCGTCTCAGATGGACACCTGTCAAGTGGAAACACTGTCCAGTACTCACTACTTAACACTGGAACTCCAGTCTCTGAGGGGAGCCTTTTATCGGGGCAGACGTCAGTGAAGCTGTGTAAGACTGAGGTGAAGTCTCCACCTCGACAGCCAGACTTGAACAGCCCCATCATGGTGGGAGACAAGACTGAGGTAGTCATTGGAGGGAAGAAATGTGTCCTGATGATGAACCCAGAAACCAAACAGATTTGTGCCTACCCATTGCTGCCTCCACCAGGTGGGTGAACAGGGCTTGTCAAGGGTGTCTTAGGGTGGAACCTCGTTGTTAATGGAAGGGACTTGTGTGTCCAGGGACGTTGATGCAGGGGGTGTCACAAGGAGGGCAATGGGTGTCTTGGTGTGGGGCCTCAATGTTAATGTTATGGACTTGTGTGTCCAGGGACGTTGATTCCTAGGGTGTCACAAGGAGGGCAATGGGTGTCTTGGTGTGGGGCCTTCTTGTTAATGGAAGGGACTTGTGTGTCCAGGGACCTTGATTCCTAGGGTGTCACAAGGAGGGCAATGGGTGTCTTGGTGTGGGGCCTCAATGTTAATGTTATGGACTTGTGTGTCCAGGGACGTTGATTCCTAGGGTGTCACAAGGAGGGCAATGGGTGTCTGAGGTGTCTTGGTGTGGGGCCTTCTTGTTAATGGAAGGGACTTGTGTGTCCAGGGACCTTGATGCCTAGTGTGTCACAAGGAGGGCAATGGGTGTCTTGGTGTGGGGCCTCATTGTTAATGGAAGGGACTTGTGTGTCCAGGGACGTTGATTCCTAGGGTGTCACAAGGAGGGCAATGGGTGTCTGAGGTGTCTTAGGGTGGGGCCTTCTTGTTAATGGAAGGGACTTGTGTGTCCAGGGACGTTGATGCAGAGGGTGTCACAAGGAGGGCAATGGGTGTCTGAGGTGTCTTGGTGTGGGGCCTTCTTGTTAATGGAAGGGACTTGTGTGTCCAGGGACCTTGATGCCTAGTGTGTCACAAGGAGGGCAATGGGTGTCTTGGTGTGGGGCCTCATTGTTAATGGAAGGGACTTGTGTGTCCACGGACGTTGATTCCTAGGGTGTCACAAGGAGGGCAATTGGTGTCTGAGGTGTCTTAGGGTGGGGCCTTCTTGTTAATGGAAGGGACTTGTGTGTCCAGGGACGTTGATGCAGAGGGTGTCACAAGGAGGGCAATGGGTGTCTTGGTGTGGGGCCTCATTGTTAATGGAAGGGACTTGTGTGTCCAGGGACGTTGATTCCTAGGGTGTCACAAGGAGGGCAATTGGTGTCTGAGGTGTCATGGGGGTGGGGCCTCGTTGTTAATGGGATTGTGTGTCCAGGGACCTTGATGCCTAGTGTGTCACACAATGGGTGTTTAGGGCGAGGAACTTTGGAGCCAGGAGGACCTGGGTGAACAGGTGTGGGAGGGATGGGAGGATGTCTGTGGGAAGGAATTAAGTGTCTGTAAGGTGTAAGTGTGGTATAGTAAACACAATGCCTAGGAGTGAGACCTGGAAGACCGAAGGGAGTAATATATGTGTCTTGGGTTTATATTAATATACCGGGATTGGGATAGGATTCACCAAAATAATACATGACTTACAGTCAAAGAATCCAACATAAGAATTATCTTCTCACCTGAGGGATGTTGTTAACATAGGACAGATAGTTTCCATGCACTGTGATTTTTGTCTTGAATTGTGAAGAATTCTGACTTCAAACAGGCAAGAAGAAGCGTGGTCGTCCACGAAAGCCCAAGCCAGGTGAGGACGGATATCTGCCGCCAAATCTCGACGGTTCTGTAGGCTTTGATCCGGGGGATGACTCCCAGAGAGACCAGACGTCCAGCGCTGCAGAGGGGCTGCTAGAACTTTCCAATGCAGGTAGGGGACATGTACGCTTGTCCTAATGAGGTAGTAGTTATGTTTACTGAAGGATTGTGTAGGTAGGTAACTTCTTAGTATGCTGTTATCATGTAGACTTGTTAACAGTGGCTTGTGTCAGGAGCTTATGGTACTATGATGTAGACTTGTTAACAGTGGCTTGTGTCAGGAGCTTATGGTACTATATGTAGACTTGTTAACAGAGTGGCTTGTGTCAGTAGCTTATGGTACTATGATGTAGACTTGTTAACAGATTGGCTTGTGTCAGGAGCTTATGGTACTATGATGTAGACTTGTGAACAGAGTGGCTTGTGTCAGTAGCTTATGGTACTATGATGTAGACTTGTTAACAGAGTGGCTTGTGTCAGGAGCTTATGGTACTATGATGTAGACTTGTTAACAGATTGGCTTGTGTCAGTAGCTTATGGTACTATGATGTAGACTTGTTAACAGAGTGGCTTGTGTCAGTAGCTTATGGTACTATGATGTAGACTTGTTAACAGATTGGCTTGTGTCAGTAGCTTATGGTACTATGATGTAGATTTGTTAACAGATTGGCTTGTGTCAGTAGCTTATGGTACTATGATGTAGACTTGTTAACAGTGGCTTGTGTCAGTAGCTTATGGTACTATGATGTAGCCTTGTTAACAGAGTGGCTTGTGTCAGGAGCTTATGGTACTATGATGTAGACTTGTTAACAGAGTGGCTTGTGTCAGTAGCTTATGGTACTATGATGTAGACTTGTTAACAGAGTGGCTTTTGTCAGAAGCTTATGGTACTATGATGTAGACTTGTTAACAGAGTGGCTTTTGTCAGAAGCTTATGGTACTATGATGTAGACATGTGCCTTGTGTCCTGCAGGTCCTGATGGGGTTCGGAGGAGCGGTCGGATGAGGAAGAAGACTCGGGTCCTTGATGGTATGTCCTGATTTTGGCGACAGAAGCCTTGTTTTGTGATCAATTTATGTTACTTGTTATTATCAATTATTGTTAGCCTTTGAATGATTGCCGAAGGTAGCGGTAATGTTGGTATATTATTCTTGTTTCAATGAAGTTAGGTAGCAGCTTATGAATATGAGCTACACAGAAAGACAATAGAATATCAATCAGAAGATATACAAAGATGTCAAATAGTTCATCTGAAGCTCCAGTACTGAGGATGTGATTGTTGCAGACTACGATGTCCTCGAGGTGTCCGGAAGTGATGATGAGTCACCACAAGATGACTATGAGGCCGACCCCGAAATCACCATTACGGGGATGAAAAAGAGAAAGCTAGCACCCCAAATTCCCACCATACCTATGGCCATCACAGGTAACACCAAACGCATGTCACTGTCACAGGTAACACCTAACATGCCTGTCACTATCACAGGTAACACCAAACACACCTGTCACTATCACAGGTCACACGTAACACAACTGTCACTATCACAGGTCACACCTGTCACTATCACAGGTCACACCTTAGACACTTTTCAGTATCAAAGGTAACACCTAACACACCTGTCACTATCACAGGTCACACCAAACACAACTGTCACTATCACAGGTAACACCTAACACACCTGTCACTATCACAGGTAACACCTAACACAACTGTCACTTTCACAGTTCACACCTGTCACTATCACAGGTCACACCTGTCACTATCACAGGTCACACCAAACACAACTGTCACTATCACTGGTAACACCTAACACACCTGTCACTGTCACAGGTAACACCTAACACACCTGTCACAGTCATAGGTAACACCCAACACACCTGTCACTATCACAGGTAATATCTAACATCTTTTACACCTTCCACAAACACTAGCTTTCTACATAATATGCCCTATTTCACTTGATATATGTGATATGATAAACTTTGAAGCTGAGGTCAAGTGAAAGATATTATTGATAACAAATTTCAGGTCATTGATAGTTATTTTGACACATTTTGAACACAATAACGCTGTACAGACAAACAGACAATCAACAATGCTGCACTTCTTTAGGCTTGGTTCTTCTATTCTTGAATGTGTCTGCAGGTCTTAAGAGAGGACGAGGTCGCCCCCGCCGCTACCCCCCACCGGGACAGTCGTCCACCCCTAACAGCATCCCAGCGGTCATCATCCCCACCGCCAACGGCCAGACTCTCATGATGGCCCCCATACAGGTGCGTCTGCATGTACTCGACTCACATTGCCAGACGGGCGGGGTCACCTACCCCTGAAAGAAACAAAATACCCTCCTTTTATGAGCAATATTTATGTCACTAGACACTTGACCCTTGCGATTACATGTCAGTGGCAAGCTCTGTGGCCATGTATTTTTATCCAGATAAGGTATCCTAATAGATTCGGATGAGATGTTGAAACAGCTTGTAAAACAAATAGGGGTCTAGCAAACTTTACTTCTGGAACTTTGAAACAGTAATAAACACCTTTCAAATTGGATTTCAATGTGATGCTGTGATGAAATCTGTGACTTAAGCTGCTAATCTAAATTAGAGTAGTAAAATTTCTTTCTGTCAAGAGTGCTTAACTAATACAAGTTCATATACAGAGGCTGATTTGTTCTGAAAATGATGCAAGAAAACCAGTGCCCAGGCTTTTAAAGGCAAAGCATTTTGCACTGACTTCTGATGTATTATTACCTGACATTACAGATTGCAGCACAGACATTTTAGGATAACAGTGTTCATTCAGCCATTGTTACAAGGTCCTGTTGCCAGGGTAATTCTTCAACATGTAGTTGTCAATGTCTAGTTGCCAGGGTAACGGGACTACTTCAACATGTAGTTGTCAATGTCTTGTTGCCAGGGTAATGGGAGTACTTCAGCATGTAGTTGTCAATGTCTTGTTGCCAGGGTATTGGGAGTACTTCAACATGTAGTTGTCAATGTCTAGTTGCCAGGGTAATGGAAGTACTTCAACATGTAGTTGTCAATGTCTAGTTGCCAGGGTAACGGAAGTACTTCAACATGTAGTTGTCAATGTCTTGTTGCCAGGGTAACGGAAGTACTTCAACATGTAGTTGTCAATGTCTTGTTGCCAGGGTATCGGGAGTACTTCATCATGTAGTTGTCAATGTCTTGTTGCCAGGGTAACGGAAGTACTTCAACATGTAGTTGTCAATGTCTTGTTGCCAGGGTAAAGGAAGTACTTCAACATGTAGTTGTCAATGTCTTGTTGCCAGGGTATTGGGAGTACTTCATCATGTAGTTGTCAATGTCTTGTTGCCAGGGTATCGGGAGTACTTCATCATGTAGTTGTCAATGTCTTGTTGCCAGGGTATTGGGAGTACTTCATCATGTAGTTGTCAATGTCTTGTTGCCAGGGTATCGGGAGTACTTCATCATGTAGTTGTCAATGTCTTGTTGCCAGGGTATTGGGAGTACTTCAACATGTAGTTGTCAATGTCTTGTTGCCAGGGTACAGGAAGTACTTCAATCTGTAGTTGTCAATATCTTGTTGCCAGGGTAACGGGAGTACTTCAACATGTAGTTGTCAATGTCTTGTTGCCAGGGTATCGGGAGTACTTCAACATGTAGTTGTCAATATCTTGTTGCCAGGGTATCGGGAGTCTCCAAGCTCTTCAGAACCAAGCCAAGACTCTCCAGAAGATTGAACCAAAGCCTGCAGAGTCAACAGAGGCAGCACTGGCCATCAGCGACGGCACTCTCATCACCCAAACTCCAGCCAAACTGAGCTCCAATGTCACACCCATAGCACTCGACTCCTCCAACAACTCAAGTGAGTTCATCACTAGCTTCCTTCTATCAATACTGATATGAAGATTTCGGGTTAGAATAGGTCTTCAGCGACGCATGCTTGTCGTAACAGACGACCCGCGGGATCAGGTGGTCAGGCTCGCTGACTTAGTTGATGCATGTCATTGTATCCCAATTGCATAGATCGAGAGTCATGATGTCAATCACTGGATTGTCTGGTCCAGACTCAGTTATTTACAGACCGCCATCTTATAGCTGGAATATTGTTGAGTGTGGCATTAAACAAACAGACAAAACATTATGATTTAGACACAAAAGACTGTGGACCGTAGATGTGCCAGATTATCACAGTATGTATTTGAAGTAATACTATCACATTTCATTTGAAGTTACTGGTAGTGAAAAGGGAAAAGAAAGTTATTTCTTCTAGTGGTGTCTATTGCATGGTTCAGCCCTTGTTCTAGCCCTAGATGAGGTAGTACCTATCTGTCCGACACTGTCCCCTCACAAATGCTCTGCACCCGTTAGGGGCGGTGGGGTAGCCTAGTGGTTAAAGCGTTCGCTCGTCATGCTGAAGACCCAGGTTCGATTCCCGACATGGGTACAATATGTGAAGCCTATTTCTGGTGTTTCCCCGCCGTGATATTGCTGGAATATTGCTAAAAGCGACATAAAAACCATACTCACTCACACTCCGCACCTGTGAAGATACAGGGTAGAATAGGTCTTCAGCAACCCATGCTTTCCATAAAAGGCGACTATGCTTGTTGTCAGAGGCGACTAACAGGATTGGGTGGTCAGGCTCGCTGACTTGGTTGATGCATGTCATGGTATCCCAATTGCGCGGATTGATGTCATGATGTCAATCACTGGATTATCTGGTCCAGACTTGATTATTTACAGACCCCTGTCATATGGACGTAATATTGCTGAGAGCAGCATTAACAAACAAACACGAATGCCCCTGATGTATTCACATATGTACAAAATGTGATTAGAAATCATAGCTGGGTTAGAAAATATGCAATCCTCTATTCGTTATCCTAGTTTAATATTATTAATAATTAATTGTTGCAGTTTCATTTTTGATGTTGTCAGTATCAACATTGTCACAGTCTGATGTGATCACACGTCCTAAATGTCCTAAAGATAGAGGGATGTAAGAGTTGATAGAATCATGGTCATGTCCTAATGCCATGTCAGGCCTGCCAATGAAAACAGACAGACTGTAACCATGGTAACAAAAAACACAATACACAAGGAATCAGCAACAGAAAACTAATTAAAAAAAAACCCAGCATCATTAATCTGAGAGCATGCTGAAAACTTGGAAACGGCAGCACTAAAACACACAGACCTTGCTGACAAACAACACAACATTCCAAACCAGTTACAAGTATCAACAAAGAGCGAGTAAATTTACATATTACAGCACAATATAGAATATTCTTGATGATTATTATTATAATTAGTGCTGTAATATGTAAATGTATTCGCTGTTTGTTGATCCTCGTGACATCCTCTTGTTCTGCACATGCCTAGTTTGGAAGTTTGCATTTGACTGTGGTAACATCACTGCCTTAACGAGTGTACTCCAGGGGTTTAATAAAGAGCCTTGTTGTTGACAGTCCTTGACAGCAGCAATATCCTCATCAACCCCCTGCATGACGATGGCGGGGACTCCGACAATGAGGACATTGACACGATTGGTGAGTCACAGCAACAGCATGCTGCTACCATTTACTTGTAGCATTGAGTGTTAGTGTTGTTTTGTGTCAAAGTCAGCATTAGACCAACTATAACTGCTGTTCTGTAAATAAACAAGTCAGGGTGGGGTAGACATGGCCCGTGTTTGACAGTGCAATCATAGAGCTCAGACAGTCATACGTCTGTGGTATAGTATAGGCATTACAATCGTTGTAGGGCTATGATCACTTTGTGCTAGGGCTGGGACGAGTCCAAATTTACTACCCGGGTACCCACCACCCTATTACCAGATCCTACCCGGGTACCTGTTGTAGATATTTAGAGATAGGTACAAACTGTCCGATTTGGAAACGTTTGACTGTAGCCCTGGCAAAATGTATTTAGATACACGTGTAAAACTGCAAGGAGTTTCATCTTCATTCAAACATATAGAAGTCAGAAGGAATGGGTGCATTCTCAGAAAGAAATGGGAACATTAGTGACTTGTAGTGTGACCATAGAGTTTTAGATAATTTTTGTCATTAAACAATATATCACGTGACTAACCACGGGTCCGGGTAGTCCTGAGGGTACCTGGGTCCTGCTCAGGACCCACCCGACCCGAGTTCCCGAGTTACCTGTCCCAGCCCTACTTTGTGCTTCAAGCCGTGTGGTTGATAGCATTAGCACCGATCCATGCCGTCATGGAGGATGACTCACAATCACCAAGGTCACATTTTTTTCATCTGTTCTTATGGGATACTAGGGACCAAAAGTCTTGCTGGAATTTCCTTGAGGTTCGCTTTAGCTTGTAGCTGTGGTGCTGGTGTACAGATGTCTGTGTCCAGTGTCTGCGAAAGATGATGCTGGACTATTAAGCTGAAAATGCTGTTTATGTTGCACAGATCAACTGAATTCAAATGAACTATATATGTCAAATGACCCATCTTCATTCCTTGTTATGCCATCTTATTTAAATGTTACAAGATTAATGTGAGCTGTAACGGCTGTGCAAAATGTCATGTGTAAGAGTTGTCCCCCCTTGACCATTTCTTGTCTTCCCAGTGAGTCTTGTTTCCATGAATAAGTGCAAATATTATGCTGCTCTGTACTTTTAGTGTGTTCCAGTTACTAGTTGCTACATGTATGTCAGTATGTTTTTACATTTTAATATTTGAACAGTTATAAGCTGAGTTCGCTTCTTGAAGATGCTGACTTGCAGTAAAGCCCTTCACTACTTACATTGGATTAAGTTGGAATAATCAGTGTTTCCTGAGCTAGTACTATGGTTCCTAGTGTCTCCTGGTGTGATATGAGAGTTACTATGATAGGCTTAAGTCCATGCTGACTCGCTGCCCTGTGTTGTAGAGAAGCCAGTGTCGGTGGACGAGGAGGGGAATGATGGAGGTGGCCAGGCCACCATCATCCAGATCCCTGAGAATGTTCTCAGCATGTTTGTGCAGAAGAAGGACCCCATCAAGATTGGTGAGTACAAGCATATCCCTGCTGCTGCGGAGTTACATCCCTTACGTGTGCCAGAATCCTATGTTTTTGGGTTCGAACCCAGATTCACCCTAATTATCCTTCTAGGTATGTCGGCACTGTACCCATGCTCATGGCTTTCAAAAACGTGGTAGATGTGCAAGATGTAGAAAAAGAAATATTATCAATGTTGTTATCCACAATAGGTTTCGTGTCTCTTGTTTATACAACACTTCAAACAGTGGAAGGTAAGGGCTTCTTGATCATGAACAACAACGCTTCCTGCAGGATAATAGTGCTGACAGTTAAAAATACTGAGAAATATGTTTCCAAATGATTACAGTGCAAAAATGAATTGCTGTTTTATCAGCTTGCTGGAGTGCTATGATTAGATTGATGCATGTTAGATATATGCTGTGGTTTCCATCCAGAGAGATGGCCCTACCACAATACTGTTTTACTGACAAAAACGATTTACCCTCCTGAGAAGTATGGGTGACATTGTCATATTTTACTATAACCTGGACCAACTTTTTCCTTGACCAGCTCAGCATTCAAGTCTGTTGAAAGATCAAATGTACATACACTTATACACTGATAACACATGTACTTTAACAGGATTGGAGAAGTAGGAATAAAAGTACCGTATCACACACCAACTTTCATGACAGCATTTGGAACAGTTGAATGAATGTGAGGGCTGTTTGATAAAAGATGGCAATGGTCCCTGCAGCATAATCATGCTGACAATTGAGAATCTCGAAAAGTTCATCAGCGTCTATGACAGATGGGCTGGAAATATGAATAATACAAATAACATTCAAGTTGAAATAATATTTTCCATGGCAAATAAATTCAATAACCACCGTGTGAATAACACTTATTGTTGAATATCAGCTACAAGTTGTCATGCTAAAGGACAAGATGAGTGAAGCACCCTGAAAATGACGTATCTCTGCTTTTGATACTTCTGCCAAAAATTGCTTTCTTCTGTGAGCAATGCACCTTCCTGTTTGGCCGGGGGCACGAGTGGCCCAGTCGGTGCCGTGATTTGCTGTGCAGAGTTGCGTCCCTTGGGCACACCAGGGTTTGATTCCCCACATTGGTACAATGTGTGAAGCCCTGGTGTCCCCCGCTGTGATATTGCTGGAATATTGGTAAAAGCGACGTAAACCACACCCACTCACTCACTGGAAGCCACATGGTTCCTACTGCTATATTCTAGTACCAACGCAATAACATAACTTCACAGGGAGCCAAATTAGCAATGCAATAAAACAACATTAATCCTATTGTAGACCATTTGACTGAAGGAAGCAACATCACAAACTTGACACAATTTGAAAGCATGTTACTTTATGGGGTTCTGAAGACCAAAACCCAGTAGAAACCAGGGCCTGGACATGAGGTAGCCACCAGGCAATACATGTATGTTGATATTTCAGGGGTGCCAAGTGCAGAATTTGGTTGCTATGGTGACCTCAATAAGTGCCAAATATGGTTCTGTTGAGGATTGAAACAGTGGTAGCGATGTTCCGATGAACGATTATCACTGAAGCTACCACAGTGCATTGTTCATATATGACAGTTGAATGTGGAAGAATGTTGATAGCTGATTACAGTCCTGGGTTCTTTGGGGTTAGAATTTGAATCAGAGTACCCCAAATATCTTTTACTTTGAACCAGGGGTCCGGAAAATTTAAAATCCCAATCGGACATTTACATTTATGCTACGCCCCCTTCAAACAGCGTGTTTTAGTACGACTTTTTACACACAAATTACAAGTTGTTACGTATTCATAATATGATGAATTATGAATTGTTTCAATTTAAATTGTTTAATTCACCGGACAATTAATAATAAATAACATCATTTTAGATATATATGGAAAACATAGGTTTGTTTCTGTTATAATAACGATTTGTCAACGTTGTGAACAGTCTAATTAATATTCATGAGTCTGCTCAAGTGTACGCGTTGTAACATTTGGATCGAGACTATTATCCCATATTTGGTTATCACGTGACCTCACGGGAAAAGTTGTTTTTTAAAACTAAAGATTATTTAAAAACAAGACAGATAATATAATCATAAATCCTAAACTATCGTTGATAGCAATAGTTATTTGAATACTTTTTCATCTGTACTTAATTATTGACCATAAAAAAAATTGATATCGATCGTCACAGAAAGCAAAATGGCGGTCAATCAAGATTCAATATACGACTAGCTACTGAAAACAATAAAATCTGCAAATCCTCATAGTATGTCAACCAAGTGAAAGTCGTTAGCCACGACTTACAAAATGATCATTCAGACTTTGAGGGTTTGGCAGATCCGCTCGACTGATCTGCATCGGTCGACTGGCTGTCGTCACGCTTTCGCTTCTTGTCTGAGGTTACGTATCGTAGCATTGTGAGGATAATGAGGTACATCGATGATGCAAGGTATTTATGTACAGTTGTAAACACATTTTACTCAAATTAACAAGATGTTCTCAGTAATTAATCCTCGATTAATCAGTGTCAACTCAGTTTATTGCCAATTACAGTGATTGACCGATTGGACTATCATTGTCGGTACTATGTATTTAGCTTGTCAGCTTGTCCGTGTAGATAATCTTCATTGTGTTACAACTGCAGACAGAAACTGCTCAGTCCTAACTGTTGATCATGTCCGGTCAAAATTTAAGAATGTCCGGACAATCCTTTTTAAAATGTCCGGACAGAAAAATTTAAATGTCCGGTAAGCAATATTTTAGACCGGACATTTGAGATTCCCAATCAGACATGTCCGGCGCATATGACGGTTTCCGGACCCCTGCTTTGAACATATGGATATGACAAGGATACTTGATTTTCATGCTTAATTTCTACGTCTGGATTATGATTGGTCAGTTGTAACTATGCAATTATGATTGGTCAGTTGTAGCTATAAGCTTATGATCAATGATTGGTCAGCTGTAACTATGCGATTATGATTGGTCGGTTGTAGCTATAAGCTTATGATCAAGGATTGGTCAGTTGTACGCTATGCGATTATGATTGGTCAGTTATACGCTATAAGCATATGATCAACGATTGGTCAGTTGTAACTATGCGATTATGATTGGTCAGTTGTAGCTATAAACTTATGATCAACGATTGGTCAGTTGTAACTATGCGATTATGATTGGTCAGTTGTAGCTATAAACTTATGATCAACAATTGGTCAGTTGTAACTATGCGATTATGATTGGTCAGTTGTAGCTATAAACTTATGATCAACGATTGGTCAGTTGTAGCGATAAGCTTATGATCAACGATTGGTCAGCTGTAACTATGCGATTATGATTGGTCAGTTGTAGCTACAGTGATCGCTCGCTATTGCGCTCTTCGATAAAGCGCTACTTCGGTTATTACGCGCGGTAACGCATGGCTCCCAAAATTTATGTACACTTTTAATACTGAGAGTTTTACACAGACATGATTGTATTGTTGTTCGTTGTTTATTTGCACATAACGCTTCTCATTGCATAATCAACGGTTTATCGCTGAATGGAGTTCTAATAATCTGTTTGAAAATATCCGCGGCAAGTCCCGGAAATACGATTGTTCAACTAGTTAACTTTTCACACTATACATCCTTTGATCTTAGAAGCGCATGCATGCAATAAAAGAGAACCACAAGTGAAGTTTATATTCTTAATTAGTGGGCAATCCAATTTAAGGCTAAACTGTCACACAAATGTAGTTGCTGTCACAACACGGCGGTCATTCATTTCGTAATCGCGCTTTCGTAACATCGCCTGTTTTTTCCCCGTAGTTATAACAAGCGATTTCATTGGATTAAAATTTGTTTCTAATGACGCTTTCTTGCCGAAATCTGCTACAAGTTTCGTGATTGGTCAATTTTGAGCACGTGACCTCAGGCAGCCAATCAAGCTTTGATACAAAGCTCGTGTTTGATAAATTTCAGAAGTTAGCGAAAGATTTTTTGTTAAATCGTGTTATTCTGAACGTTTTAAGCAGGAAATCACGATATATATTAAAAATATGGAACTTCGCGAATGTATCGTGCTAGGTTACGAGCTGTGACAAAGATTTTTCATGCATATATTTTTGCATTAAACGTTGTGTCCGAGCCGAGAATTCAAGGCGACGAAAGCCGAGATGTCATTTGACTTACATTACACGCGATCGCACAAAACGATGGAAATAATAACTTAGATGTAAGTTTGATTACTTTTAGATATATTTTTGTTGATTTTATTTATCACTTTGTATAATATATTTAAAGATTTGCTTAAAATAGTCTATATTTTGCTCTTTGACATGTTCGATGCGGACCCGTTGTCGAAATGTGTGTCCGAGAATTTTATTTTCAATAACATCGCGGGAAATAGTGAATAATTTTTTAATTTATTGATAAAAAATGATAAATTAGAATGGAATACGTATTTCAGACATTGTGAAATATGACAGATTTAATAAATGAATGATATTACAGGTAGATCTAGGTCCATAAAAATATATACTATTTTGACGTGACGTGAGATAAACACATAGGCCTATTGATGATTTGAGATTTGCCGAGCGCGCTCCCCCGCCTCGGCTTCGGTTAAACGGCTCATCGTCTATAACGCCCACCAATTATTTGGACCCCATTGGTAGCGCAATAGCGAGCGATCACTGTATAAACTTATGATCAACGATTGGTCAGTTGTAGCTATAAGCTTATGATCAACGATTGGTCAGCTGTAACTATGCGATTATGATTGGTCAGTTGTAGCTATAAACTTATGATCAACGATTGGTCGGTTGTAACTATAAACTTATGATCAACGATTGGTCAGTTGTAGCTATTAACTTATGATCAACAATTGGTCAGTTGTAACTATGCGATTATGATAAATGATTGATGATGAAATCCTATTCCCAGCACAAGGAATGAAGTAGGTGTGATTAGATAATCATGTGCCAGTAGGAGGTTATTCCAAGATATATTTCCAAACATCCTTACT